GAAGAGTCAATGAGTGATTTTTAATGCCCTCTTATAGCATACGGCATGCAGTTAATAAAAAGATTACAACTTACAAGCAAAGTGATGTATAGTGATTAAATGTATACAATAAAAGGTAATAATAATAAGAAGAAGAATACAATGAATCTGCACATGCTGACATGGAAAGCTATCCAAGATTTAGTGTTAAGTCAACAAAGCAAGATGCAGAAAACATATCCCTCTTATAATAAAATATATTCATGTTTATACATGTGAATATATATTTATGTGAACAATGATCATTACCATTACCACTTATTTGTCACTCCCTATGTGCCAGGCACTAGTATAAGTACTTTATAATTTTGTTTAATCCTCAAGATAGTCCCTATGAAATAGGTATTGTTATCCCTACCTTATATGTTATGGAACAGAGGAACAGAGAAGTTAAGTAATTTGCTCAAGGCCACACAGTTACTAATGGGCAGAGCTAGGATTTGAATTCAGAGAGGTTGGTTCCTGAGTCCATGCTTTTAACCACTGTCCTATAACACACTGAAAAAAAACAAAAGGACACAGACTAACTTAACAATTAGTTTCTCTAAAGAACAAAGCAGAATGGAGAAAGGAAAGAAAACGTTCCCTTTTTATACTGTATCTACAGTGTCATTTTTATGAGAATGGCATGTATTGCTTGCATGATTTTTAAAGATAAAAAGTATTTTTTAAATAAGGGCTTACTGGCTGGCCAATGACATGGCAGTTAAGGCAGGTGGATACCACATGGCTGACTTTACGGTTTGAGTCCTGGACCAGTGGCTTGAAAAACACGCCAGGTGTGTGTGCATGCATACCCAAAATCCCAAGAGGAAAATGAAGGAGAAAGAATTGCAGCATGGCCATCCTGCCTAGTGACTGATTTTTCACTTTCCCCTTCTCTCTCTCTCTGTGGGAACACATAGATCCTTTAGCAAAACTAAAAAATTAAAATTAAAAAAAGGAAAAAAAAAGGGCCTACAAAGAATTAAGGGCTGGGGCCAGCAGTTGGCATGGTGGTTAAGACTGTCATGTGCTGGACTCCCACATGACTGATCACAGTTCAAGTCCCAGACCTAGCAGCTTGTTTTCTCACTCTCCCCCACCATCTGTCTCTAGTCAAATTGAAAAATAATGATGATAATAAATAAAATTAAATAAATAATTATTTTAAAAAGATTTAAGGGCTAGATGGAACTCTGCCAAACAGATTTGGATATGCCACAATTTTAAAAATTTTATTTTATTATCCTTATTTTCAATTAATTATTGTACATCTTTGTGTGGTACAACATAGTTTTCAATTTTACATTTATTTTTTATTAATATTTGTCTCTATCGCTAGCATCAAAGTGCTGAGAAGACAGGAATCAAACCTATTTTTGTTCAACTTAGTAAGCCCAATACTTAGCAAAGTACCTGGCACATAGTAGGCACTCCACAAACATTCACTCAATGAATGTAGGAGTAAATGAATGAAGGTCTGAGATGAGTAGCAAGTGGCCTGTCATCTTTGGTTTTAGGTAGCAAAGTTGCTTCATTCTATTGGCTCTTTCTTCATGACTCTTTCTTTATTCTTTGGTACCAGAGCAGGAGCTGGTACAGACCAGAGGTGCCCTTTTACCTCTGTTTGCTGGAGCTTCTCTAACTAGGTCCTCACCCCCAAGTATACTGATACTAGGAAGATACAATCCCCATAGGTTTGAATCAATGTACCACCCATCTAGAACACCCAAAATTTAGTACATGGGGGAAATGAAAAAGAAACAGGAGTTGGATGCTGACAAGAAAAAAGTGATTGGGAGCGAGTGGATTGCTAGGGCAAGAAAAGAAAAATCAGGAACAAATGGAGAATGTTTTAAGTAAAAAATAGGTATATGGTATAGGAATGGTCTTTTTGTTGTTTGTAAAATGTCTACACAGTTGGGGACCAGCAGTTAGCATAATGACTATGTTGCTGAACTCCCACGTAGTCAACTGTGGTTCGAGTCCCGGACCCGGTGGCTTAAACTCCCACCGGGCGCATGTGCATGTGTGCCCAAGATCCCGAGAGGAGAGTGGAGAAGAAGGGATTGCAGCGTGGCCATCCCCCTGGAGGATGATTTCTTGCTTTCTGTCCGTCTCTCTCTCTCTGTCTTTCTGGCAAGTGTCCTATAGCAAAAATATCCTCTCCAAAGAAAATATCTATACAGTTTATTAATTTCTAGACTGTGAACATCACTGGACTCAAAAACTGGAGTTGAACATTACCTATACACTGGCATAGCTGTTTCACTAGCACATTTTCATTCTGGTTGGAAATATTTGCAAAGAGCGAATATTACTGGCATTATGATACAGTTTCCTCTTTTGAGTAAGACAATTTTATTGGTAGCAGTTCACAATGGCTTACAATGACATTTCCAATGTAATTATAATGACGGAGATAATGACTTGCATATCATATGCTTAAGAAATTATAAATTTCTAATAACATGTTATAATTGGATAATAATGTCTTTCTTGTTTTTATTAGTAGTTAAAGGGACACATTTAATGTCACTGTTTTTTTCTTAAGGATCAGCAATTATTAAAATATTGGATGTACATTTCCTTTGATTTAGCAATTCCACCACCAGGAATTTCTCCAACAGTTACATTCACAAAAGGCCAAGATATATTATAGTTTTAAGAGAAAAAGAAAAAAAGAAACCACTTCAAATGCCTATTGTAGAGAAATAGTAAATAAATTATAATGCAGACACATGACAGAAGACTATGCAGCAACTAAAATAAGATAAATCTGTAAAATGACACAGAAGATTGACTATGGAAAATTATTAAGTAAAAAAATCAAGACAGGGATGGGAAGGTGGCGTGGTGGTTTAGGTGCTAGATCTTACATGGCCAACTGCACAGTTCGAGAACCAGACCTGGCAGCTTGGAAAACATACCAGGTATGTATGTGTGTGCATGTCCAAAATCCAGAGAAGAAAGTGGAGGAGAAAGCACGACCATCCCTCTTGGGAGATGATTGCTCACTTTTTCTCCCTATCTCTATTTCTCTCTCTCCCTGGCAAGCACAAGTGCCCTATGGCAAATAAATAAAGAAACAGAAAGAAACTGTCTTTATAACAAAAAGGACATATATAAATAATAGTTTCATGTGATCTCATCTGTCTAAAAATTATATACATATATATATATGTACACAACTCTATAGATATATATCTGTGCCATGTAACTCAAAACTTCGAGGATACCCAAACAGTTGTTAACAGTAGGGTTTTTTGGTATTTATATAATTTTATTTATCATTATTATTGGTTTTTAGTTTGCTACAAGGCCAGTGCACTCAACAGAGAAAGAGGGAGAGGGAGAGGGATAGAGAAAGCAAACTGCAGTCACCCATGTGGGAGTCCAGCACCTTAACCACCATGCTACCTACTAACCCCAATGTGGTTATTTCTAAGGAATGGAGCCTACTTTTCTTTTTACATGCCTTATTTTGTTTCAGCTTTGAACTATGTGCATATAAGTCCTTTTATGCTTTACTTTCTAAATATAGTAAAAAGTTTAAATGTTCAGGGGAACAGATAGTGAAAACTAAGTGTCCTGCCCACCTCAGTCTCCCTTCCTAGAGGCAGCCACCATCACTAGTTTCTTGTCTGTCTCCCCAAAGGTATTCTATGCACTATGTGTTGTTTTAAACATTAAAATGATAGTGTAAAATTTTAAAGAACTTTGTCATAATCATGAAGTTGCTGACTAAGTCCTCTGTTTTACCAATTTCACCTTAACCAGAGTGACGTAACCTATTGAATATCCATTATGTGCCAGGCACTGACTGGTACTTGGCATACAATCCTGCAAAAGAGGAATAGTATTGTTAATTCTGTTGTATAGATGAAGAAACTGAGGCTCACCGAAGGTAGGTGACTTACCTAATTTATAAATTAGGTGACTCACCTAACTGGCAAGTGACAAAACCAGGATTCCAATCCAGGTCTGCACTCAGCTCCAAGGTATAATTATGCCATACTGCTACACTCTTACCAGAGGTACCATCTCCGAGTAGACATTTTCTACGGCCCATGTAACCAAGAGTACAGCTATTATTGGAGCTCCATGAGTTGCCTTATTTCCTACTTCTTTGGTGAAAAGGTGAGCTTAGAAAAGGGGTGCAGATTAGGATACACCCAGAAGGTTGGTTTGGAGAAGAGGTGCAAGTTAGAATATTAGGACACACTCACAATCTGGAAGGTTAGGAGCAAAGCTTGGCACACATGTGAAAGACTTTCCAAAGCAAAGTCATGGCTTCATGATTTGCCTGGCTTATACAAAAAAGATGACTCACACTTGACATGCAAGTGCCTCAGAAACTGCTGTCAAACTCAGAAAGGCCAGCAGGGTGCACTAGAACTCTACAAAAGACTACAGTCAATGGCGCTGCCAACATAAACCAGC